CTCTGGCCTTGCTTCCCCCTCCTGCCTGAGCAGAACTTATCGTGGACCAAAGAGAAGCAACTCGAGCTCGGATCTCTTCCTCGTCGTGTTAAGGTATACGTATTCTTTGTGAGAGTGCTTGCAAACCTTAGCGGACAGTAGAAGTATCTGGACGGCTTGTTAAAACACAGATGCCTGGGCCCACCCCATAAACTGACTCAGTAAGTCTGAGAAGGGCCTAAGAGAGAAGAAGAGAGCCCAATATTCTCGGTAGGCTCCACAGGGCTGTGTCCAGGCCTGCTCCCCGAAAGAATTCTTGACAGGGCAGTGTAGCCTCTGAGACTTCGGGCAGTGAGTGACAGAAGGGAAGTCCCTCAGGAAAGTCCCTTTTCTGAGGCCGAGGAGGGAAAGGTGGTGACAGAAGGGGCTTTACGGTTGTGTTTAGGGATCCACGTCTTGTTCGGTTTTGTTTCTGAAAGAGAAGACATAAACAAGAACATCCAGCCACACGAGGACACGCGGACAGAAGCTAAGAGACAGGAGGATGCACTGCTGACACCTGGGTGCTAAAGGGAGGATCGGGCTACGAGAAATTATAGGAGCAGCAAAGGAATCGCCCTGCAAGCCAGTAGCTGAGACAGAGCAGAGCAGCTCGTGTGTGGAACATGGTCCCCACAGCCTGGGGCTGGGAAAGCCTACTTCCTGCTCCCCCCAGTCCTAGTGACTCTGGGGATTTGTGGAGAAGTCTGGGTCCTATGCTGTGTGGAGAAGTAACACTTGCTATATCGCCCGCGAGTGGGGGCCCTACTTTGAACTGTGTAATAAACGCTTGGGATGGGGAGCTCAGGGGTCCGTTAGAGTGAATTTTCCCAGGAGCCTGGTAGGAGGCAGAGTCAAGGGCAGCACGGCTGAGCCCCCTCCATGAGGGTCCTGCCAGTAATGGAGGGAGGAGGCAAGAGAATTAAAATGTTAATCAAGCCACAATCAGAGACTGCAATCTGCTGATCAGCCCTGTGGCTAGGCCAGGAGGACACCTGCAGAACAAAGACAGATTTCTGCTGGGATTGCTAACCACCCATTCCCCACACCTGTGAAGGGGAAACAGGAACCAAGAGTCATTCCCTACGGCTAAAGCCATGCGGAGCCTAAGGAGGAAAGGCTGGGGACTGGCAGCGGGCCTTTCACTCCACGTATTCCGACATTTTCACGCAACATACTCTGTCCCTTCCTCACTGTATGTCCATAGCAAAGGAAATGGGTTAACAAAGTCTTTTAAACTATAACTCGCGGGAACTAAAATGATTTATAAACAGAATTCCCTTTCACGGTCCCTTTCACTGTCCCTCTCACTCTCTGTCTCTGAGAGGAGACCACACTCTGTCTGCAGAGTGTTACCCCTTTCCTAATGAACTTTCCTTTTGACTCCAACGTTGGCCTGTGTGATGAATTCTTTGTTCACTCTCTGCCAAAGGACTCTCTTCTTCTCCTGGGACAGGGCTTGATCTCTCTGTCACTTGGGGGAAATTTGCCTTGTCCCGCATTACCAGGATGGTCTATTCCAACTCCAAGCCATTCCAGAAGATATAGACCAGTTTGGGGGGTTTCGAGGTGACTCTGTTCATTTGGGGATCACCTGGGAATTTTAATTTCCTACAGGGCGCCTTAAAGTATCATCCTGTAACTAGAGACTATGTGGAATCCTTTCAGGGCTGATCCGAATCCTAGAGTTTCAGATGACAGCAGATCTCACTGGACTTGAATCGGAATAATCATACAGTTGTCTCTGGGCTCATCTGACAAACATTCGAGGGCTTAGTCTATGCCAGACACAGGTCCAGTCTCTGGGGACACAGCAGTGAACAGACAGAAGCCCTCCCCTTGTCGAGCTTACCTTTTGTGAGGGTCAGATGTGGGACAGACAATAAAGAACTGAGTATCTTACTTCTCAAGTGTCGAGAAGAGCTATAGAGATTTTCAAAGAAAGCAGGGGACGGGGTCAGAGAGTCTCGCGCGGAGATGGAGAGATTGCCCATGTAGAAAGGTGGTCAGGGAAGCCCTAGCGGAATCTGTGACATTCAAGTAAACGTGAAAGTGAAGAAATGAACAGTATAGCTGGATTTCTGGGGAAAGAGCCATCAGGTGGAGAGGCTGCCAGGTAAAAGCCCTGAGGTGGAATGGATGCACCTGGAGAGCTCGAGGCCAGTGTTGCTGGAGAGGGTGGGGGAGGGCTCTCTGCCCAGGGTGGAGGCTACGTTCAGTTCTCTGAAAGCCTCCTGGAACCAACACTTTCTATCCCATCTCCCTCACTAACCTCAAAATATCCCAGAAATTCTAAACTACTTCCCAGGATGTCTGCCTCTTGAACGTAGAAGTCACACAACTCCCAGCCCCAATATATCCTGATGTGGGATTTGGAAAATAAGATCCAATCCAGCAATTCCTAAGTGCTATCTGTTGGGGCACGGTACTGGGCTATCGAGAACCACCACTTACAACCCACCATTTCACCTCTGACTCTATGAATAACTTCGGGAAGAACACATAGGCGTGCGTGCACCCACATCCACACCCACACCCACCCGCACTGACACACACTGGAAGAAGCAACTGAGTCAAAAGGAAAAACATTTTTTTCCATTAAGAGGTTTAAGCTCACTGTCTAAGATCGACATCAAAACAGAAACGATGAGCAATTCACTTCAGGAATTCCCCGATGGCAGTTTTCCCACTCCACTTTTGTTTACAAGGACAGCCTTGCTGCTTTACAGCCATCAGGAGAAACCCCTCCTCTCAGGATCCTGGGTCCTGCTGGATTCTCTCCTCTCTCCTCCCTGCATCCCTCCCTCCCCGATGTGGGGTCTCACAGCTTCAGACACCTTCTATGTGCTGCTGGTGTCTCACTTTCTGTCCCCCCTGACCTCCAGCTATCACCTATCTAGTTGCCTACCCTTCAGTTCCCCTTGGCTGTCTTAAGACATCTCCAACTTCACATGTCCCAAACTGAGGCACCGCTGCTCACCTCCTTCCTCCTCCTGGCCTTCCTCATCTCAGTTGATGGCAACTCTGCTCTCATTATTCAGACCAAAAAGTTGAAATCATCCTTGACTCATCTTTCTCTCACACTGGATATCAATTCATCAGCAAATCCTACATGCTCTTCCTTAAAATATGTCCAGAAGCTGATCACTTCTCATCATCACCTGTACAGATGCTATTTTGCTCTACATCCTTATCATTCTCACTGCAAAATGCCTTAGTTGGCCGTCCTGCTTCTGCCCTTGCTCCACACTGTCCAATCTCGGTAGCCAGAGCCATCCAGTTAAAAATCCAAGTCGACTGTGTCTGTCCTTTGCTCACAAACACAGTAGCCAGAGCCATCCAGTTAAAATCCAAGTCGACTGTGTCTGTCCTTTGCTCACAATCTTCATGGGGCTCCCAGCTCACTCTGAGGAAAAGCCCAAGTCCTACAGTGTCCTCCATGGTCCTACGTGATCCTCCCCCTACCTCTTATCCTTCTTACTTCTCTCATTCCATTTTCCATCACGTTTCACCTTGCCCACTCCGTTCCAGCCACTCTGCTCTTCCTCAGACAGGCCAGGCACACTCTTGCCTCAAGACCTTGGCATTTGTAATTCTCTCTGCCCAGAATGCTCATCCCCAGAGAGCTGTCTACTCCTTCTCCTTATACAAAATGCTAACTCTTCTGTGAAACTTCCCCTTGTCATTCATTGTCACGTTTCATCCCCAGCCCCTTCCCCTGCCATATTTTTTTTTCTTAGCTCTTATCACCATCTGTTCCATTGTATACTTTAATGAATTATCTGTCTGCCTCCCACTAGAGTGTAAGCCCCACGAGGCACAATTTTTGGTCTGTTTTATTCATCGCTGTACTCCCAGTCCCTAGAATAGTTGTGGCACATGGTAAGGGCTCATTCATATTTGTTGGTTGAATGAAGGAAGTTTTACAACTGAAGGTATTCAGATGCTCTGTGGGCAGGAGGGGCTTATAAGAGCATCCCCCCGCTTGCCTCATTTTCAAAAGAACGAGGACAGTGGTCCTCAGGAAAGGAGAGAGAGTCCAACTGAGCTTTGCAGATCCCCTGTGGGAGACTGAGGGTGAAAATAGACAGCTAGCTCCATGCACCTAGGTCACATGGACGGCCAGCCTTTCTGAAATCAGAAGGGAATACGCTCTCCTGCCCCTTTGGGTGGGGCAAGAAGATTCAAATCCAAACTGCTGGCATGTTCCGGTTTGGGTTTGGTCCAGCAGTGACGACTTTTATTTTCCTCTGGAGCTGTGTTCCTTGGGTTGTGCAAAGCCTGGGAACAGTGAGGGCATTAGGACCAGGAGCGAGGCGCGTGCCTGGCTCGGGCTGTGTCTGGCAGAAGGCTCTCGGCTGAGCGAGTGTAGAGCTATGTGTGAAAGGAAATCAGGCACTGCCTGCCGGCTTCACATCTGTTGATCTGACCTGACTTGAAGCGTCCAAAGGACGACGGCTGTCAGCTTTGCTGGACTGAGGACCCACCAGAGCTCTCTCTCCCGGACATCGCCTAGCAACCTGACCATTCACGGCCGGGGGGAAAATGAAACACATGAGACTAAACACCTGAGCAGAATGGAATAATAATTTTTTTCCCAAGGAGAAAAAGGGTGTAAATGGGAGCAAACAATTTAATTTGAAGTCCCCATGAATGGGCTTTCAGGCAATTAAAGAAGTTTATGCAGAGAGAACCTGGGGTGGGACTTGGGTCCTATGTCTTTCTGATTCTAAGTGGCAGTCGGTCTTACACGTGCTATTGGCAAATGTCAGATGGGATAAAAGGACCAGGTTAAGTGACAGGCAAAAAACTTGCAGGTGGAACCAGGGACCTAGGTTCTGCTGCAAGCTCGAAGGAACCTGGAGCAGGAGAAGAAAGCGAACTTGAACATGACCTGTTGCATTTGGCAAGTTCCAACAACATGCTCCTAAGGAAGCGATGCAGGCATGGACCA